GGGGATGTAGAGTTCAGGGTTAGGGGCTGTAGAGTTCAGGGTTAGGGGCTGTAGAAGACTTCTTGTGGGGTCTGAGAAGGCTGCATAAGGTGTAGTTGTGAAAGGGTTCTACAGTTTATTGGAGTCCCTTTCTCTTCGGGATCTTCATGATACAGGGGTCCTACGGGAAGGTCCGACAAGTTGCAGATTGTCTGAAACGGACATATCCTAGCAGCAATGCGTAAGGAAGTAATATGGCAACATGTTGTGCCATGCGGCCCTGTGCAGTACTACTAATCCATACTTACGTAGATTGGCAACAAGTTGAGTAACCTCGAGCCTGTTTTAATAACTTTGAAACCATGGTGTAAGCACCAGCTTAAGGCGAAGAGACCGCTTGCTGATCGTCGGCATCCTCCTTCTCGGTCTCAGAAGGCAGGACCAGCAAGCAGCCTCGCAAGTGCACAGGGGAGATCTAGTGTTTCTTTCTCTGCCTCTGCCGGGGATTATTTGGGAACGCCTTTCAAGACTGATGCTGGACGAGCAGTGCTTCTTGCTTCGTGGCAATACCTTTCTACTCGATGCTCGGAGCAGCTTCCAGCACATGATGTCGCTGGCACGAAGAAGAAAACTGTAAGAGCAGCAGAGTCATCGTAAGGAAGACCTCGATACAGCCCTGCTACCCCAGAGACTGTCACAAAAACAACCTTACCTTACTGTCACTGTGGCTCAGACGAATACCCTGCACAGCCCTAACCCTGTCTTTGAGGTTTCAGCCAGGGCTCGGATCTTTACCTGGCTCGGCTCGTACTTACCTCCTTCGCCACACCAACGCACGTAGCTCGTTTCTGACGGTAGCCACTCCTGAACAAGCCGAGAAAAAAGCCCTCTCCGAGGGGTTAGGGACCTGTCGGGATTCCCTGGGTCAGGGCGGGAAAGCTGGCTTCCTGGCGCTGGCTGTCCCGCTTTGCAGAGGCCCAAGGCTGCAGGCTATCTGGCTGAGGCTCTATTTTCTCCGGCTCCGCGGTCTTCTCCTCGCCACTTTCCAGCAACTTGACCTATGCACCGTGACAAGAGTTCTCCTACGCAGTTTCGGAGTTTGGGATTTACATAGGTTTCGGGATTCCGAAGTTTCCAGGCGTATCGCACGGCGGTATCCGGCGGAGTGCCTGGTACTTCTTCTCTTCGAAGCTCAGAACTTCGGCGACCTTGCTACGGTCGTAGATGACCTGGCCAGAACCCAGGCAGAGCTGAAAAGGAGAAGCTTTCCATCTCGCGCCTGCGCTCCCTTGGTGAGGTTCAGCTCTGGCTCCCAGACCACCAGGCGCATGGGCTGCCCAGTGCCCTTTTTAGGGTTGCACCTTGGGCTCCAGAAAGAATCAAAGTCAAAGCGGCACCAAGGGAACAGAGGCCCCAGACCGGTAGTGTACCCGGCCATCACCGGAGAAGTCGTTGGTAATCGGAGGACCTCAGCATAGAATCCGACAGAAGGAGCTCTTCCCAGCGTGGAAGTGTAGTGAACTTCGAGCTCCTGGGGCCCAGGCTTCGAGGCGATACCACCTCAAACGTAGCATCCGATCTCTACTTCACGGATTCTTCAAATGCCGAACTTGCCGGCAACTCCGCCATCCCTGCCCTCCTATGCATTGCTTCATGTGTCACGCATCTCTACGCCGCTGCGTCTCTGCACCTCTTCGTCTCCACATCTCTACATGGCTACGATTGGCTACGTCTCTACATGTCTACATCTACATGGATCTGCATCTATGGGATGTGTGTGTGTGTGTGCGCTCTACATATATACATGTAGACATATATATATATATATATATATGCGTGTACATATGAATAGGTACATACATACATACATACATACATACATACATACATACATATAAACCTGTACATATATATATATATACAGAGATTCCAGATATACTTGCTCATTTATCTATATGCGTGTGTGTTGAGGGGGTGGGGGTGAGAATGCACGCATGCTGGTTTGCGTACATACACCCATAAAAATGCATGCATACATACAAAATCATACGTACATACACATACATACATGCATACATACATACATACATACATACATACATACATACGTACGTACATGTCTGCATGCATGCATGCAGGCAGGCAGGCATGCATGCAAGCATACATACATACATACATACATACATACGTACGTACATACATACATACATACTTACATACATACATACATACATACATACATACATACACAAACACACATACGTACATGCATACATACATTCTTTCGTAATTGCATGCATGCATACATAAAAAACACGCATAGATAAACAAATACATACCTATCTGCATGCATGCATGCATACATACATGCATACCCTGTGTGCATGCATGTATGCATGCGTGTGTGTGTGTGTGTGTGCTTGTGTGTGTGCACATGTGTGTATGTGGGTATGGGTACTATTTGTTGTGTACCTTCGTTTTCGTTTACTGCACGGGCATATATATGTTTACACACATCTGAGATGCTTGTCTCGCATGGACACACACCTAACTACACCTGCCTGAACATCACCCTTAACCCGAAGCAAAACCAGCCAAGCTCTGTCCGAGTAGAGCCGCGCTTAGGGGATCGTCCGTCGTGCAGCTGCCCGCGTGTTTCCAAGAACACTCGGGAAACTGTCCCTGCTCCTTGGCTTTGGCGAGCCATACAATCCGCACCATCGATAAGATGCAGATGCATATACTTGTAGAGCCCGCCATCACCTTACAAAGCAATGACTCTATATTCATTTCCGGGGCACCCAGACCGCCATGTCCGGGGGCGAGAGTTTTTGCTCCATGGGGTTGTCCTCGGAATGTTTGGCCACCTGGCAGCTGAACTTTCTCTTCACGATCTTCCAAATCGTCGCAAACACGTTCGGTACTTGCATGGCCTTGTGCTAGGAGTGCAGTGAAGCCCGGAAACCCGTGCGGCTCAGATCTCTGACTCGCCGGTCTCCTAAATGAAGTCCACAACTCCCTCCCTCTGAAATTCCCAGAAACTAGAGACAGAAAGTCTCTGGGGCGCCTTCCAGGCCCCATTGTGGCAAGTCAGCTGCTCGACCCCCTTCCTTCAAAGCAGATGGAGCAGCAAGGGCCCTCCAATCCACGGCTTACATGGTTTAGGGTTTAGGGTTTAGGGATCAAGCCGCTCAAGCCAACTGCCCAGGCAAGCAGCAGGTTTTGGAAGCCCTCGCTGCAGTTGAAGAAGACGTTTTGCCCCCGGCGGACGAAAAAGAACCTCTGCTGCGCTGCTGAGCTGTACAGTTTTTCACTCGGAATCGACTGCGCAGCATTGCACCGCGTTGACCATGCTGAGTGATTCGGCTCTCAACGATCCCCCCAATCTCGGGCAGGAGGCGTCTCCTGCTCCTTCAAGTACCAATCTGTTTTACAGAGCTTGGGGGGCTGCTCCCGGATCCATCGAGCCTTCAGGGCCTGCGGCAGCTCAGGAGCGGCGCTGCATCCCAAGAAAATTTGAAAGAGGCCCCAAGAAAGTTCATGGAGAGAACATACCTTCGCCTCATCTACACGAGTCAGAAGATGTATAGTTCTCCTACACTTCCGGAGAGACCAATGACCTTGCACCTAAGATCATACCTCCCTCCCTCTGGGCGCACCGAAGGTTCGAACATCTTCAAGACGATCTCATCACGCTCTTCTTCCGTGTTGACCACCTTTCTGCCAACTCATATCGCAAAGGCTTCGAGGACCGCGCTGCTGGTTGCTTCGAACAGATGTGGGCAGTTCGCTGAATTAGGCTACTTGCTTGACCTCCCGAAAGAGTCCGTCGAGCTGTTGGGAATGATCCCTACGTTGTCGGAACGACCCACTGACCCATACTACATACTACCTTCAAGCTCGGGCACTTCCACTTGGCCCACGCTGGACCATCCCGCTAAGCTTTCTTTCGTCTGCCAGTCTTTGTCGTCAAAGCACGCCACTCCGTAGCAGTAGCCTCAGTTTGGAACCGAACCAGGGCCAGAGATCTGCCCGGACGTCTCGAATGCCAGCCAAGAAACAAACTTCATACCTTGCGAAGGCACCTTTCCGCAAATCCAAGAAATGGTTGCAGGCTTGATAGATACCTCAAAGCCTCTGCTGCTAAATTGAGACGTGCACCGATGGGGGCATCGATCGAGTAGACGTACTGCCTGCGTGACACCTTAGGGAGGCTTCGGCGAGGACCCCTCGGCTTCAGAAGTTGGGTCCCAAATGGTCCAAGATGCCCTCGACGGAATCTTCAAGCGCAGTGCGTTGCTGTAGCCTGAGCTGATGTGTCGGACAGAGCCATGGTTGCAGATGTAGAAAAGCAGAAATGCACCGACCTGGCACGGCATAGACCCGCAAAGCCCGTTGGACCCCACAAATCACAGAGGCAAGCGGCTATTTTGCGGTGTCTTGCACAGATCCTCGGTCTTCCTCCTCCCCTGCACACAGGGTTCAGAGAGTTGAGATGTTGGGTTGCCGGACGAGCACCGCACCGGACGATCTTTTCCACGCGCTTCTGGCGGCAGCTGGGGCCGGGGTGCAGCAAGCCTTTGGCCAACACCCAGACCCAGGGCTTCGCCGGCGAGTCCCTGCTCTTTTGACGGTGATCCTCAGACGTAGTCCTCTGACTTCTCCTTGGGGTGTAGAGGCCGTGAACTGCGGAAGAGAATGGTCGCTGCCAGCGACAGGAAAAGCGTGGAGAAGGATAGGATCAGCGTTGCATCCAGCCAGAACTGCCGGGGATATAGGCGAATCAGCGTGTCTCGGAACGAGAAGAGCCAGGAATCCCCGGTAAAGAACAGCACGTGAAACCATCGGAAGAGCGTCTTGAACCCCAGCAAGGCAAACAGCGACACGGCCAAGATCAGTCCCAAGGTCAGCTGACTCCCACGCAGCAGGGCGAGCCTCAGCACCTTTGAATCGGCTAGAATCAAAAAGGCCGCTGAGACGACTACCAGCACCAGAAGACCCCAAAATGCCACGAAGAGCGAGCCGGAAAGTGCCTTCACATCCTGCATGTGGCTCAGCTCTTTCTCGGTAAACATCGGGCAGCCTTCCGTTTTCTGCGCCGGGCGCCGACTCCAGTGGCACATGTCGTAGGGCAAAGTTAAGTTTTTCAGGTAGTCGATGCCTTCGCCGTTCGTCATGTATCGGATGCAGTACACCCCATAAACAAGCCTATCGCTGTTGCTCATGCCGAAGTTATCTTCTGGAAATCCGGAACGCGAGTACTCCAACCGAACAAACCACTCAGAGGTCAACAGGCGAGCATTGCCCACCATCAGTAAGTACGGCACAGCGACCGTAACCAGGAGCTTGCTCCCCAGAATCCCACCGGGGCAGCTCGCGGCACTGCGTGCAGCTTTGGGAGCATACTGAAGGAAGAGCGACATTTCCCCGGAAACTCAAGGCGCCGCCCGTAGACACATCGCTTGCGAGCAGCAAAGAGGCAGAGCGTATGCATAGGCTGTATATAGTACATATCTATACATATATATAAATATACATATACACATACTGACATGTTTGTATCTATGATCATAAATGCTTACTTATACATTTGCAATCTACAAATGTGTTTGTTTATTTGTTTGATTACTCGTGTAAAGACTTCCTTACCTGTGTTTATATTATACATATATATATATATATAGATGTTTAATATCTGTCCATATTTAGACTATACTTATTAAGTGCTGCGGAAAATTCATATACAATACATCTTATACATTATACATGATGTTGTGTCTTTGCATGTATGTATTTATGCATGTATGCATGTATGTATGTGTGTGTGTGTGTACGTATGTATAAGAGTGCCCTGGAGAGCCGACACTCTTGAGTACTCCATGGGGGGCAGTTCTCTAAATTAGGGTCCCTTTCGGGGGTCCTTTTTAGAAGGTTCCGTACTAAACTGGGGACCTAAAGGAGGGGACCCTAGTTTAGAAAGCTACCCCAAGGTGCCCAGCTCATGTCACCTCCCTGAGTCAAACTCGGCAGAACCCCAGAATTACCCGTTCCGTCCTCGGCGACATCACAAATCGGGACCAAGGTGACGCGGGCCAACCTCGAAGCAACTCTCCCGACGTGGTTAGGGCTTGAGGTTTAGAGTTGCGCCGTGAGGCTGGCATGGGTTTTGGAAGTCAGGTGCCAAGAGCTTCCAGAGCCTACTTTTTTGATCGGTCTGCAGCCGAGCTGCTGGTAGCGGAGGTCCGTGTGCAGTTGACCTTGGCAGAGAGGCTATCTTGCCCACGGCTTACGACTGGGGCTTCGGGCTATGGGCTTAGGGTTTTCGGCTGAGGGTGTTGAGGTTGAGGCTTTGGCTTTTGGGCCTTGGGGTTTCGGCTTTAAGGTCTAGGGCTCGAGGCCCAGGGTTCGTGAGAGCCAAGGCACAACCTTGCACGGCCAGCTCCTGATTGCACAGGATCTAGTCGGTGGTTGTCAAAATTATGGTCCCTTTTTGGGTCCTTAGTATAATACGGCACCTATTATTTAGGGTACCCCAAAAGGGACCATAATTTTGACAACTACCCAGTGACATCATTGACAAAACGTTCCAACTCAGACCAACAGCCCCAGAGGCAAGATCCTAAACTCAGTCAGTGAGTCTTGACTCTCTGCTTCTACGGCAGTGACCTTCGACAAAACTCAGCGAGATGGGCTGTCATCACTCTCATTGCCGATTTCTGCCGAAAACACGTAGCCTCCACCACGGAAGGCAAACCACAGAATGCATGCTATGGCAGTTTGGGCAACTCGGACGAAGCAGCACATGTAAAACAGAATAAGCATGAATGCTGTCGCGGAATCATATGACAATCGTCATCATGGTAATCATACAAGTACTAAGTAATCATGATAAGACACTGCTACCAGTAACAGCAATTGATCAATCATACTCGTCCTAATTCCCGCATTGCGAGCGCAAAAGACATGAGGTAATGACAGTGTTGTTGCAAACCCTAGAGGAAATGCTCTTGAACACGGACCACAGCATGATCCTATGTCTTTTCTTATGAAGGCCCTGTTGCACGACTTTTGGGTGCGGCTTGCATGGGGCTTCCGGGTATGATTTGAGGAATCGTCCTCACGGAGTCCTACCGTTGTAAAACTATCACCAGTAAAAAGGGGGTTAGCCGTCCGGGTCCTGGTGATACCCTCCTGCTCCGGCCGCCCTCTCTGCCACTAGCGGCTCAAACTCCTCAACAACAGCTCGGCAATTCAATCTGAGCCGCACGGTTCAGGGTTTGAGGGCCTGTCGACTTGACTAGACGTGCGTAGTAGATGTTTAATCTTTCGAGGAAAACAGCAGGAAACTTATGTCGAAAAGCTCGAATCTATTATCCACAGAAAGCCCGGTTTACTTGAGTTTGGTTTGCGACTCGGGATTAAGCCAGCCGTCATCAGGCATAACTTCCCGAAGCTTTCAACACATGTTGGTCCTGGTTGATGGCCGGGCCCTCGACCATCTTCACGTTGCAGCTAGGCCCTGTCCAACAGTGGTTGCACTGGCAGTGCCAGCGCCGCTTCTTGCCTGAGCGGTCCCCAGGCAAGAACAAGCATCGGTGTGCCCCGCTCTTTCGTGCAGTCTGAGCGACCGTTCACACACTTCAGCTCCTGTGCAGTGCGTGATGGGCTCATGGATGCACGGCAGGCACCCAGGCCTGGTCCTCGGACATCTCAGACGTCTCTCCGAGCTCGGACAGCGAGTTTGCACCGTTGTTGGCTGCTGCAGTGACGTTGTCGTCGTCGTCGTCGTCGACGTCTTTGTTGCTCGCGCCTGTCCGGGGGATATGCTGATATGCTCGCGCCTTCTGCCGTCTCAACAGGTTCGGCTGCCACACCTTCGTCGTCCGCGTCCGCCGAGAAGTCGGGGTCGTCAATAGTTTTTGCTTTCTCTCGCATGTCTTGGATCCTTGATTCCTGCAGGTGCAAAGATGAAAAGACAGCCAAAGCTTTGCAGTTCAGGAAGCACAAACGTCTTGCCTTCGGCACGAAGAACCGCAACTCATCTTGCGCCACGAAGGTACGTCTCTCGTCATCTGCGATGCTTGGGGCCGGAGTGAAGTCTGAGGCTTGGAGTCCAAATGATGCCCAATGTGGATACCGCATGAGGGCCAGATTCGGACATGACCATTTCAAGTTCAAGAACAGATCATCGAAAACAGCATGAAACAGCCCTGGCGAGATAGTAGCAACCTGGCCTGTCGCGAGGACGGAGATGTGGAGCCTCGGATCAACGGGGCAGTCGTGGAGACTTGGTCAGGCAGTTGGCAAACTTGCCACATATCGTCAAAGCTATCAACTCTCACGAAGCTTCGGATGGAGATATCCGCGTGCCTCTACAACCGATTGCAACTTATCTTCCAAGGAGCAGAAGGACGTCGCCCCACTCCTCGGGCTCGTAGACATAGCCCTTGCTTTGCAATGCCTGTGCTCATCACGCTTGGAGAAGTCTTGCAAGTCCTTCCAGAGGCTCTGCCCAAGAAACCTGTAACCTTCTGTCCAAAGCCTCTGGATAAACCCCCACGACGCGACAATGCCCCAAGCGCCCTATCCCTAAAGCCGGAAAAGTACTACGTAAGGCCCTGTGGCTCCAGGGCCTTTCGAACCGAAACCCCTGAGGTGCCTTGAGAAAGGTGCTCTCGACATACTTGGGTCGAATGTCCTTGGACCGGAGCAGCGACAACCTCGCGGCCTCGGCTGGCTTCGGGGGTTTTGGGGTCTTTTGGGGCTTTTTGGGGCTTTGGTTTTGGGGTTCGGGAGCTTAGAGGTTCCTGGTTTTGGGTTGAGATGCTCTTCGACCCCCGCCTCCACCGTTCCTGCCTTAGCTTTACTGATTTTTACTGCGATCGTTGTGACTGCTTTGCCTGACAGCATTTCCAGTCTTGCTTGTGACACCTTGGGTACTGGCACTGCTTCCACTCACTAAACCCATCCGAACCTGTAGGACACTCAAAAAAGATAAACCCTAAACCCTAAACCCTAAACCCTAAACCCTAAACCCTAAACCCTAAACCCTAAACCCAAGCCCCACGTCCTCCAGCAGTACCACTACCATCACTGACAATGCCAGGGCACTCGGTCAAGCCAGGTTTGAGTATGCACGTACCAACGCTCCTCTGCAGAAACTTCTCGGAAGCTAAATGAAATTGATGTGGGGTTCAGGGCTTAAGAGGGCTTAGGATTTCTGGGCACAAAGAGGGCCTGGCAAGTGTTGTTCTCCCTGAGAGCATTGCGAGCTTCCATGAAGAGCCTCAGCAAACTTAGCGAGGCTGCCGGGACAGGAGCGCATCGTGCAACGACAAGAAGTGCTGTCATGGACTGCACACAACAAACAGATGCGGCGGGTGACTTTCCTGCTTTTTTCAGCTTTTTTGGCCTTAGATCTCACAGGCCGGCCAATCATGAAAATCGATGTGTCAGCGATCATGAACTTTGCGGTGGCATTGAAAAAGACAGACACGTGCATCTCACACTCCCAAAAATCCAATAAGAACACTTCAAGTGACAGCCCGCATGCGCAGATCTAATCAAGGGGGCCGAATAGACGACAAGCCTTTCGACAAAACTTGCCCTGCACATTATGCCACCGCGTCGGCATCATGGAGCAGTTCTTCGCCAGCTCAGTCACGTTTTCTCCACCTGGCAACACAAGTTGTCACACGATGCGAATCTGTCGTCTCAAAGACGGATGATGCCGGGGATGTCTTCTTGCCAGAACTGTTGCCAGTGGACGAATTTGTTCAGAACACTCTAAGTGTCGGGCTGATCTGCAGGATCGTCCCTTCAGTCAGGTAATCGTCCAAGTTAGGCCGACAAAGAGAACCTGGATGGATTTTTGACGCAACAACGAAACAAAGCCTAAGACTGTCTTGTAACGCTTCATGCGCTGCGGTCGTCAACTTCGTAGTCATCGTCATTCTCATCCTAGTAGTCGTCGGGGCAGGGGCAAGAAGAGCAAGTAGTAGCAGCAGAAGTAGTAGCAGGAGGAGGAGGAGGAGGACGAGCAGTAGTACTAGTAGCACCTGTAGTAGTACCTGTGGTAGTAGTAGTAGTAGTAGTAGTAGCAGCAGCAGCAGTAGCAGAAGCAGAAGCAGTAGCAGTAGCAGTAATAGCAGCAGCAGCAGCAGCAGCAGCAGCAGCAGCAGTAGCGGTAGTAGCAGCAGTACTAGAAGAAGAATGTAGTTGGTCTGCTCATCCTATACTGCCACCTATGGACCTATGGTTTACAAGTTCCTTTTCTGTCGAGTTTGAAGCTTCATCTGCTGTCACAGTTTTGGAGCCTGAGCCCCCGCAACTTCGGGCTCTGCGACAGGAAACCTGACCCTATGCAACTTCTGCCGCTGTCACACTTGGGGAGCCGGAGCCTCTGAAACGTCACACATATGGGGGTTTCCAAAAATAGGGGACCCTAATATAGCACCCTAAATAGTAGGATCCTTATTATAAGGACCCCAAAGTAAGGTACCCTAATTTTCGGAAACCCCCGCATGTACCTTGTGCGGCGTGCTGGAGGGGATCCTGTTCCACAAAGGGGCCGGGAGGGCGAGGGGGAGTACACTCGGAGGACGCAGAAGGCCCAAACCGAACCGGGATACCATGGCAGGGGGGGATGGGGCGGCGGGTATGCCGACGGAGCGCAACCATATATGGGCAAAGCTTTACAAGTCTGGACACGTATATATATATATATATATACAGAACTACCACATTGAATACATAAGAGCACAAACTCTTACGAAGAGCTGCTATCACACAAACATGCTTGTTTATGTATGTGTATGTATGCTTATGTGTACACATATATATATATATACATGTTCAAGCGCAGAGAGGGTCCAGTTATCATACCAGCACCACATAGCACTAATACAATAGTTCAGGTCAAGTTCATTCTCAATGGAAACAAGTATGCTTACCTGAAAATCAAGCTTGAATGATCATAGCAACACTAATACAATCTCACCTCAACGTGTGCATGATCTATGTATATATATGTGTGTGTATACGCATACGTATGTATATGTACGTGTGTGTGTGTGTGTCTAATTACAAGTGTGTGTATATATATATATATATGTATGTGCATATGTGTACGTGTGTGTATATATATATGCTAGCTAGCATCTACTTCTCAAAGCTCCAAAAGCCGACAGAGCCATTCCCAATTTGAGCGAAAACCCCTGTAACTGGCAACCCCACCCGAAAGCTAGCAGCTAGATGCAGAAAACCTTCGGAAACTCAAAGTGAAACCGTAATTCCCTCCATGCAGAGAACCCGCGGGCATGTTCGCATGTCAAAGAGTTGCTGCCACGTTGCACGCCATAGACGTGAAGAACAGGCGGAGCCTAATTTGACGACATCACATGATCCCTCGAAATCCTGCTGCTGCATGCTGCGGCTATTGTTGGGGTGACTATGAAAGGCGCAGTACTACTTTGCTCTGTCCTAGTAGTCGTAGCCGTCGTTGTCTTTGTCTTAGTCGTAGTCGTAGTAGTTGTAGCTGTAGTAGTCGTAGTAGTCGTAGTAGTCGTAGTAGTAGTAGTACTACTACTACTACTACTACTACTACCACTACCACTACTACTACTACTACTACTACTACTACTACTACTTGTACTGTACTAGTACTAGTACTAGTCGTCGTCGTGGAGGTGGTGGCCGCGGTGGTGGTCGTGGTCCTAGTGGCAGTACTAAACATGTTGTTGTGGCTGTTGTTGCTGTGGTAGTTGCTGTTGTTGTTGCTGTTGTTGCTGTTGTTGCTGTTGTTGCTGTTGTTGCTGTTGTTGCTGTAGGTGTAGGTCAGATCAGAAACTTCAGTCAGGAAGAACAAGACGAGCAGCCTGTTCACGATGGACTCACGGCTGGTCTTGTGATGCCGACTGGTTGGAGACATGGAAAAGGCAACAACCCTAAGCCGTGACTCCTCCTGATAAGAGCATGCGAGCACCTCGCCAGCGTGTCTCCACCTGCATCTTAAGCCTGCCGCCCAATAGAGCCAAGCCACGGATCTTCACATTGATTGATGAAGTCCAGAACGTGCTCTATGCCTGTGAAGGTTGGCGCAGAGTGAGGCTAAAAGGCCAAGCGCCTAACTCTCTGCCTAACAACCTGGTGCACGTTCTCACGGCCTCGTTGTGCTATGTCCGCTGCCTTGCGGCCCAGGGAAGGAGTGCGCAAGGACATGTTTCCCTGCTCGGAAATCTGAGCTTGGTACTTCCCTCAACCGTTCTGCCTCAGGTGACTGCTTATCCGTCTGCGCCTCGAGAAGCCAAAAATGACAGCCTGAAAGACTGCGCAAGTCTGGCCCCACCTCCAACGCAAACTGAACGGTGTCCTGCACGAAAACCAGGCTCAGGCACAGGTTGGAAGGGTGAAGACTGGAAGGAGTGCAAACGACTACTGCTTTGCTAACAGACAGTGAGCAATAGAGCAGTGTTGCACATCATCTTTCACGATTGCCTTGTTGTCACTCTGCTTGGGTTGTCGAGCGTACGTGCCTCTGTCATGAGTGTTGGGTCACTGTTGGGTCACTCCCTTCATGTCCTTGCCTGTTCACGTAGCCTGCAGTACCGTGTGCGCCTGATCACAGCATGAGCGCCCTGCATCCAGATTAGGTGCGTTTTCTGTTCTCTCGCATGCGGCTTTTCGTCAATCAGCGGTTCGCTCCTTTGGTTACTTCCCTGTTTCTTTCGCCGGGGCTGGTGAAGGGGAGACCCCTCCCCTCACGCAGGTGCCCCCAAAATCCTAACCCCCGGATGGGGTTCAAAAAATCGTGTGGATCTGCAAGAGTTATCTCAAACTTATTGACTTTCTTGGAAATGATTTCTGCTTGGGCAAAGTATATCTCTTCACATCTGTGTGTCCTGACATGCGGTGTTTGCGGTTTGATTCCACAGAAATAACGTGGCTTTCCGCCTAGTTTGCAGCCATTCATGGTGGCCAACCGCGGTACAGTTGTTTCGACCTTGCAATTTACCTTGCAATTACCTAAACAGCACCATTAGTGTGTTCTATGTTCTACTTCGCCTACATCAGTGACCTCCGTGACCCCAGCAGTGGGCCCCATCGACTATCGCAATCCGGAGTCAAAGACTCTGACCCCGAAAAACTTAGTGTGTGCGTGTATTGTATATGTATGCACACGTGTATATACATGTGTATATGTATATGTATGTGTGTGTATATCTATATATGTTTGTCCTTTCTCGGAGACAGCAGATCCAAAGCGACGAAGCAACAACAAGAGGTCCTCTCTGAAGTGTCTGTACTGATCCTGGACGTATGCGAGCTCCTCTGCGTGCGCGGCAGAGAATAAGATGGCGAGAAGCCGAGGAGTAGGGCATCAGTGCCGCCAGGGAAACATCTGGAATCATCGGGCAGACCAAGCTAGGCGTGGCACTGGGGAAGTTGCCAGCCAAGCCATCACAGCATGCAACAGCAGCTCTCCTTTGCCATGGGCTGGGTCTCATCACCCAGGCGCTTGTAAAACCTAAGCAACATCGACACTCTGCTTGGAAGCTGCACGCAGCGAACGACTTTGTCCAAGGAGCATCCTCGTGCAGCACTGCGGTTTGTCTTTCCAGCTTTCACATGAACGTGGAATTCCCAGAACTTAGTCCAAGAGGTCGATGCAGGAGAGCAGCCATGCAACATCGTGCAACGGCTGCCGTGTTTCGGCCATGGCACTGTCCTGCAAGGGGACTGTCGTGGCCTTCCTCTCACTGAAGAAGAGCTTCCTGCAAGGAAGCGTCTTCGGCCATCTTCGGCCCTTGCATGGGAAGCCCCGTTGCAGGGGCGGCCTGTCTTTACTTGCGACAACTTGCTGAAAGAGCTCAGAGTCGGGTTGGCACGTTAGCTCCTTCGGGCTGCCCTTGCCTGAGCTCGAAAGATCACATGCAGAATGGCAAGAAGTGAAAACATGATGCAACATCATGCAGACGTGCACACATACACACAAATAACAGACTCACGTAAAACACACACATGCGTACATACAGGCATCCATGCATACCTGCATACGTACATCATGCACATGTACATAAATACAAATGAATCTGCATGCATACATACAGACTTACAGGCATGCATGCATGCACACACATACACATGTTCATGTGTACATACGAACACATACATACATACATACATACATACATACATACATACATGAACACATGCATACATGCATGCACACATGCATACATGCATACATGCATACATGCATACATGCATATGTACCTATACATGCACGCATGGATACGTATACCTCTCCATCACATGTGCATATAATATATATATATATATATATATATATACATATATACTACTGAGAACAGTTATAACAGTAAGAAGAAGGAAAGAAGAAGAACAGTCTAATCACAACAATAACAGTAACAGTCACAAGAGCAACAATAAGAAGAAGACCAATAACTAATAGCAAAAACCATACTGCAACTAATGACAATATAGATAATCGCAACATAATGTTGAAAACATTAATTAAAATACTAAATAACGTCATGGCATTGGTAATAGTAATAGGACAGTCATGGTCATAGCGACTGATCATCTGGATAATAATGGCACTAAGAAGGTTACTTCATATTCATCTGAACATGAGTACTCACATTAACAGTAATATCAAGACTAATACTAATGTCAATACTACCTTCATAGTGACGACGACAGTCATGAATCAAAATAACCATCCTCTTGTTCTTTTGGCCAGGTGCTACTATTTGCCTTGCTCTCGGGCTTGGGGTCGCTCCGCTCGAGCAGGACTGTCTGGTGGTCTGCGGCCTGCGCCGTGCGCACTCTGCTGACCTCCTTCCCTAGGTAAAACCTCGGGACCTAGACCCGTGACCCTTACGTCCTAGACCCTCAACCGCAGACCCCACACTCCCAAAACAACGACGAGGCAGCTTGCCTTGGAAATCGCTTGCCGCTCCTGGTGGTGGGCCTGCTGTTCTGAAGGGCTTCGGGCTTAGGGTTTAGGGCTTGGGATCTGCGGCCTATGATTTCTAGTATCTGCAAGGCTGAAAACGCCGCAACCCTGCATTCAAACCAGAGGCAAGGATTCGTAGGCCTACGGTTTGAGGGTAGTTACGCACACTTGTGAAAGGCTTCCGGAATGAGCCAGACCCTGCCACGCCTTCGCCTGCGGCGTGCTTCTACCTCAGTTCACACGCACCTTTGCCACGATGCTCCTCATCAATACAAAAAAGAACGATAGTCACGAAATGAAAAATGTTAGTAAATATTGATCATGTTAATGCGATCAATACTACCCGCAGTATTGATAATACTACTGGTCCTCATATACTGGTACTATCATTATTCGTAGTCTTCATATCAATATTCATATGGGAATTCCTGATAAAGAAATCCAAGACTCTGTGGCTGGTTTGGCCGTGATGGGGCGATATGGAGCCGGCTCCCTGTCAAGAGAATTTCAAAGTTTGCGCGTTCTTGCTGTACATGTCTGAAAAAAAAAAACGCATTCTGCTCATCTACATATTATATAGTACTCTTCACTGCATCTGTACATGCGCACATGTCCACAGCCTCGCCAGAAACGCCCAGCGAAAGGAGAGCTAAGGGCGCTAAGGGCGCCCAGCGCAAAAGCCTTGTCCGTCGCGGCACAAAGTCAAGGAACAAAGCTACAAAGCTACAATGAGTCTAAGAACTGATGCAGGTTTGTACGCCTGATTTTCCCTCTCAAGTTCCCGATTCTGCCTGGGCATCGTGGAGCCGCGCCACTGGCCTTGGCTTGCTAAGTGCACGGACCAGGGCAGAGCAGATCCTTTGAAAGCTCTGCCAAGTCAGCCAAAGGGCTCCAACACGGGGGGCACGGCCCGTGTGCAGGTAATTGGAATTCAAAGAATACGGAAAAGAAACTTACTTGGCTGCGGCAAGCAAGTATAGAGTGCGCAAGCGTGACCTGTTCCAAGGTCTCAACAAATAGTCAAGACAGTGCTGCCTCTGTTCTGCCGCAAAATTGGGATTGAGTTGCGGGCAGCTTGAAGGAAAGGAACACAACTCTGCAACAAACGACCAAAAAGAAACTACATCTGCAGCAGCAAAGGTAGCGAGCACCCGCTTAGCAGCTTCAACAGCAGCAAAGCCGACACCAAGCTGCGAAACAGGAACAGGGGCAATCTTAGAGAAGCTTCAGATGAGGGGTGAACAGCTCAAGGAGACTACTCGTTGGTTTCGGCTTCTGGCAAGTGAACGCAGTTAGCCTGCAAGTGCCGATTTTCTCGTTGGTACATGAAACCTGGACAAGTATGACAGAGGATCCAGCCTACAATACCCATAATAGCAACCATATTAGCAGCCATATTCGTAACCCACAATAGTAACCATTATAGTAACCACAAAATTAACCATGATAGTAAGCATACGTAAGCATGAAGTAACTACTATGGCTTGCAAAAATGCTGAAACTGAAAACTCCGACAAGCCGTTTTCTCCGCTCTGCTATGAATCCGCGAGCTTCTTTGCGTCGGACCTGCCAGGAACGGTTCGGGTGTGAACAGACTGGCGGACAGAGCTGGTAACCAAGATGTATGCACTGTGGGCTTCGGCAGGTGAAGAGTGAGTGGCATCTTGGGAAACGCACGAAGGCACTGCGCAAGCTCCGGGCCACACTTTGTTCATGCGCTCTTGCTGCTCGTCATCCTTCCAAAGTCTCATGACGAAGTCTTGCGATAGGTCAAAGGGGTCAAAGGCCTTCCGCGTCATGTAAGCCGTCTCGTTCTCGAACTCGTTGAACTCACGATCCTAGTCAATTTTTCAGGGTGCACGGTTTGGCACAAGTGTCACTCAGCCGACGGTGCATAATACGCGGCAAAACGATCTTGCACCTGCCCGTCACTGCACCGCACAATGTCGGCTGGGTCCTCTTTGCGAAAGCCTGCAAAGCTCTAATCCCTACCGTCCTCTCTCAAAACTCGACGTGCCCTCAAGGAAGTCGGAAGAAGCCGTGGGCCTAGGCCATTGCACTTGAGCAGCTCGATGCACGCACGCAGCTCCTTGGAGCTGCTGAGATCGAACTTCAAGTCCTGGCTTGAAGATCGAGTCCGAATCCGCTCACTGGGCCGGAGACTCACATCTCCCGTGTCCTCGAGCTTTCGCTCCAGGACGTCCTGGATGGCCTTACGCGCAGCCTGGAGACGGCATGCCAAGGCGTGTAGCCCAGGCAGAGGGAACAACACCGAAGGGCCTGCAGGAGGGGCAGGAGCTGCTTGCCGCCCCGGCACTTGAAGGTGGCCCACTTCCCCACCTCACAAAGGGGGCTGCGAGCATGGACAATCTCCAGAACAGGATGACGGAAACCGACACAATGCACAACCTGCGAGCTAGTTTACTCGCACCAGCCGATGCTATGGCCTCGCAAACGAATCGAAATCCGACTGGCCGCCGAAGGGAATTCGTGAGCTCCGAAAGACTTGAAGGCAAGAGCAGCCCAGGCTCACTAGACCCTGAAGCCAAAACCCAAGTGCAGATACTGCGAACCGATTTTATCAACACCATTTGGGAGGTTCTCCCATGACGTAGCACAGGACCGAGCATTGAGGCTTCAACAAGAACTGAGCCCTCGAGGACTCTTCAGACTGGAACACGCCCAAGGCTACTCTCGGATTCTGACGTGTTCGGCCACTCTACCCCTGGTCCTACAACCCGCCAGACAACTTCGTGTGATGCCTCGATGCCACCGTGATTTGGCTCCAGCTCACCGCCGAACAGGAGCAGAGCAAAAGGGCTCACCTGTCACTGTCACGGTCGCGCTCAGTGGCTCCTTGGGGTGCCAGGAAGTCCAGGCTCCAAATATGAAAGGAGGGTTCTAGCAACGGCTCGCTGTGCTGAGTGCCTCCGAGACGTCGTAGGCATAGAGCTTACTGGTCTGCCTGACGCGCAGGGAGACGAGGGCGAGGCCTTCGCCTTGAAACACCGAACCGGGCCCTGGGCTGGATGGTATAGTAGGCTAACCACGGGCAATGGAACCTCAGCAAAATTCAGACATCAGGATACATCAGGAGGACCCGAAGAAAAGTGGAGCCCGATTTCTAGGCTCCCCGCTGATCGTGGCCAAACATCAGCGAGTTCGGATGCACGTTGAGGCGCTTTGGATAGGATTGCTGTTCCATCTTCACGTGCCTCCACACGTCGACGGGCTCACAAAAGCAAATGAAGCTTCCGAGACGGATTGTGACCCTCAAACCGACGTACACTTTGGTGAAACCCTCAAACTCTGCTTTAGACAAGATGTGCTCTGAGCATACACTGCTAGCACGCTTGCGACTTCAACAACTCTCCGCCGACACACTACCCAAATTCCGCAAGGCCAACCAAAGCATCAACATGCTTGGAATCCCCAGCCTCTGCAGCACTTGGTAGGTGAGGTACTTGGCCTTGCTCATCAAGATTTGTTGCGCTCTTGAGTGGGTCCCTCTCCCCAGTGCGAACTGCCCAAATGTGGTACCCAACCATTTTTAATTTGCCTTGTCCATCATGGTCGCACTCTGGAACCTGATGTTGCACACTTCCGTGGACTTTTCTTCAGTGAAGCTGCTGCTTCGATGCTGGGGCGTTGACTTCGGGGGACTCCGCGAGACGTGGATGATGTTGGGGTACAGGCCCCCAACCTCGGATCAAGACCGCCGAAGTCACCGGGGATCCCCAGAGATGTCAATTCTACGACTCTACGAATCCATGGGCAAAAGTGGCTTCCAAGAAGCCACAGCGGCACGGACGAGGTTCCAGTCCGGAACCTGCCAAAACGGCGAATTTTTCTGTCGTAGTTTGACTGAGAAGCTGACTCGTCTTTGAACGTTCAAGACCAGAAGAAGCACATGGCACCGGAATCATGCAACATCTCAACCATGAGAGCCCCTCCTTGTTCTTCTGCTCCCACTCCAAGTCCTTGAAGTTCCCCGGAAGGAGTCCCACTTGGACCTGGTAATTCGGCGCTGGGCCCCAGCGACGGGCGTTCCAAACAACTTGCTTGGTCTTTAGCTGCACCTGTACACATCTGCCATTGTGTGTATGTGATTTGATAAACAGATTAATAGATAGATATACAGTCTGTACAAACAGATAACTAGAAGGACAGATAGATAGCTAGCTAGCTAGCTAGCTATTTATCTATCTAGCTAGCTAGACAGATAGATAGAGAGAGAGGTAGGTAAATAGATAGATAGACAGACAGATAGAGCGAGAGATAGACAGACATACAGATAGATAGACAGATAGATAGGTAGATAAGTAGATAGGTAGATAGATAGCCAGATGCATAGACAGGTCACTTCAGACTTCAGAGGACAAGCTTTCCATCCCCGAGGCTCTGGCCAAGGACTCGAGCAAGTGCCGGCGCTCCTCAGGCTTCAGCTCCAAAGATCCCTATGAAAACTCTACAAGGGCTTAGGGTTCTTTTTTAATGCACTAACCCTGTCTCCCGCATGAAGTCGAAGGAGTTCAGGGTTTACGGCTTAGGGTTTAGGCTTCAGGAGTTTAGGGTTCAGGCCTGAGGGCTCTGAACGAGGTTCCATGAGGATCATCTACAGGTTCCTTGCATGGGTTGCCTTAGGAGTTTTATTGAAGCTTAGCACAGATTCTAGTTCACTGCTGGCAGTCTAGTGTGGCTTATGCTTCAACTTTGGGTTTTTGTATAGATATGTTTCGGCATTTTTTACATAGTACGTATGTGTTCTACATTACTACTACGAGTGCTAGTTCATTGCTCTTCCCCCACACTCTAAACTCTAAACCCTAAACCCAAGGCCGGGTGGATTGTTCGAGGCTAGGGCGAACATGGAGGAGGCCATGCGCTCGAAGGAGAGCCCCAGCTTCTTGCAGAGCTCCCGCCTCGAGCAAAGTTTCAGAGTCTCAGAGGTTTCCGGAAGGGTTACGAGTGGTTTGGAAGGAGCATACCGGTGTTCTTTGTGTACAGGCTAAGAAGGGGTTGTTCAAGGCAAGGTGCCCAGAGGATCTGAGGCCAAAGCAATTGAAAGCAGACGGGGTCGATTGAATCACTCAGGTGGCTCCTCGGTGGAGATCCGAGCCCGGAACTGCTTCATGTCGCCGAAGCGCCACTCTTGCACGATGTGAGCCCACCTCGGCCGCTTCTTCAACCCGAAAGCACCGAAGAGGGCCCTCGCCGGGCTCTGGACGCGCAGTGGTCGCTCCGGGTCCCGATTTCTGCCACCATCTCCATCCTGCCCAAGGTCGCTCCAGAGACTGAGACTGAAAGCTACGACCTGGGACTCACCGGATCGGCCTGGCCTTGCGCTTTGCCAGCTCGCCCGCTTGCTGGTGTCCTTCGGACATGGGGATATGGGCTTGATGGGATCACTTAGGGGGTAGGGCACGATGATTCCAAACCAGAAGACACGCGAGTATTCCCGAATGCAAGTCAGTCACAAAAGACGTGCGCTCGATGGAACCAGCGAGCTTCTACGTCGATACGTGGAAAAAGCGGTGTCCTGAGTCGTCATCATCGGATTCCGCACAGACATTGCCTCAGCAGATCATGGCTACACAATGGCAAGGTATGAGTGCGAGAATACTACGAGTACGGCTTCCTATAGACCACCACGAGCCAAGAAGCTTCAAGGCTCGGGGTGCCTACCTGACTCTGCTGCTCCCTCAGTCAATTCCACCATCTACTCGCATTGGTGAGATGATGCGTTGAGGTGGAGCCGTTGGCCTCAGGCTGCATTGCAGGCAAGTGGCGGCACAAATGCTCAAGCAGGGGCTCGGCCTTGGTTCACTCGTGGCCCGGCGCAGCTGCACTAAGCAAGCGTGCTTCGCCAACCCGAAGCGTGGCCTCTGCAAGCACGGGAAGAGGGCAAAGCTATGAGGCCTCGACTCACCCAGCAGGCAACCTGAGTCTTGGCGGCAGATGCATTTCTGCACGGGCTTCTCTTGCATCACAAGAGCCTGCTGCACTTTCGACCCCCCATCTTCGACCCGCAGCTCACCAGGGCTCAGACCGAGCACCAGGATCTTGCCCAGGCGCGGGTGGCAGGGCAGGGCAGCCAAGTGGCGGCCAAGCCTTGCTGCTACTGCTAAGGATAACCCCAAAAAGTGAAAGAACCCATGCTAAAAATTGCCAAAGAGGGGCTTTTCCAAACCTTGCTACTGGTACCTTTATGAGAAACAGCAAGAAGATTCCAAGCCACGGGCGGCGTCAGGCCGTCGGGCTGTGACGGGTCGAGCGCCCCGAGGTCGCGCAATGCCGCCTCGCTGCGCGAGAGATCAGACTGAGAGAGACATTCGGGGATCTGAAGCCGCTCTTTTCCGTGATTCTAAAAAAAAAAGGTCTGCCTTCCTCAGTTTCTCCCAGTCCGGGCCTCCGCGAAGAGCACCGAGAGCTCGTCGGGCGGATCCGGCGTCTTTGCCAGGAAACCGGGCCTGGCATCCGCGACGTGCTGCGATCTCTCGGGGAAGGCCACCCGGCCTGTCGTCGATGCCGCTGGCGCACACCTGCTGTTTGGATCTGTTAGAGAGCTTCCAGAATCACCGCTCCCTGCCTGCAGATAGACGTTCTCCAATGGCACTCGCTGCATCTCCGGGGGCGACACGGCATCCAAGCGCTCTAAGTGCCTCCAGACTTCGAAGAGCCCCTTTAAAACCAACCAGAGCTTTTGAAAACCCCAATTGGCTGGGAAATATCGCTGTCTCAGTCTTAGAGCTCGGAGTGGCTCTGGCTGCTGGTGACCGGCCTCTCCGGGAGGAGCCGCAGACAAACCCCGGGCTGGACCTCGGACAAAGCATGCGATCAGAACGACAGAGCAGAGCGAGAGGAAGCGAAAAAGAAAAGAAAGAGAGAGAGACAGGGAGACCGAGAGATTGCGCTGGGAAGTCCGGGCGCGTCCAGCGCGACCGCGGCGCTGCTTCAAGGAATCCAGGGCACACCACTGCTCGCCTCTCAAAGCCCAAGTCCGCAACCCTCCCGAGTTGAACCCCCAGCATGATGTTGTATCAGATACAAGACATGTTAGACTTATCACATGAACAGATATCATTCTCCCTCCACTCGATTTGAGAAATATTCCCATGTATATGTAAAATATATGCAGCTGAAGCCCGGACGTAGCATCGGTGTGTTGCTGTGTCGATCAACCTCAGAAAGGCCAGGCACCGCAAGTGGACACCTGAGGCAGGTGGGCAAGCGGGCATGGCCTGGTTCCGACGCTCTCGGCAGGTGTCGATGACCACGGTAACGTCAGGAACCTGGCATGCTACACTTCAGTTTCTCCCACCGTTGCGAAAAAGGATGCAGGCGACCTGCTTCAATTATCGAGGACGTCGAACCGAAAGAGCCGAGAGCTTTGTCAACTCGACTAAAAGCGAGATCGTCGACCGTGTAAACGTGAAGAGTCCGTAGCAACTCATGGCCCTCAAGGCTTGTGAAATCCACATACTTTGATGTTTAAGGGTGAACAATGCAAAAGAGTAAGAATTGCAATATTGTGATTTCCGACAACAGCAACTTCAGTACTAAAGCCTCCTCAATGCCCTCAGACTTTGAGCATCTCTGAGCCCACCACAGTCACAGAAGTCTCTGCGACGTTCGTTGAGCAGATGATCTTCCGCGTACAACCTGAACAGCTGCAAAGCAGAGTCATCGCGGTCATGTCAGGAAAGATGAAAACAAATGCACTAAATCAACAAAAATTCCAGGAATAATAACACTAGCAGAATCTTTAGCAGTTGGCAGCGGCAGCATGCAGTCGCAGAAGCATCAGCTGGAAGAACTGATAGCCATAATTCTATCCTGGCAGACGCAACCTGCCGGTAGTGACGTGCTGAAGCACAGCTGCTGCTCCTCACATGCGCCAGGGCTGTCAGAGAAGTGCAACTTGCAATATTTGCAATTATCATGAAAGGGGACATCAGGATATCGTCCTCGGGTGGAAGATTGGCATGAAGCGGCAAGACCCACCACTTCGATGACATTGTGCTGTCATCTGTTAGCTTGGACCTGAAGAGGCAATCTACATACGACATCGAGACTCCGCGTTCATACTACAGATCTCCAAGTTTGATCTATCGGCGCATTTCCAGTTGTGGTGAAGACCGCACTCTGAGTAGGCTGGACAACGGGACCCCGACATCAGCTGCGTGATCTCTCCGAGCCCGGGCAAGAAAACGAGGACGGCTCCGCGGTGGGGGTCCTGGAGAGCTTTCGGGAAGCTCAGGCATGTCCAGGCAAGCTCAGGGATTTGGGGCTCCTTCGCCGTTGCTCGCATGGACTCTGGAGCAAAAGTCCAGGCCCCGTCCGGAGAAGTCTCGATCCTAGGTCGTTGGGAAGAACTTCAGCAGAAGGTATGCAAACAAGAAAACAACAACATACACGTTCAAGCTGTTGTGGCAGTGACGGAGATCGTGTGCCGGATTTTCAGGCAGGGTGGGAACATCGCCCACCGGTGATTTTTGCTGCCAGTCGGCTCTTGTCGCAGAGTAGTTCCACAATTCGAGGAATTTCCAAAAATGCTGATATCTCCCGTGACACAACACAGCAAGGCTCGGGGGGTGCTCGTTCGTCAGCCCTTCCCTGACAAGCCGCCACCAAGCGGCTAACGCACACGGACACAAGCATGCATACAGAGATGAAACACAATTTCACATACAGACGTACGGACACAGGTCTGACTTTTTGGGGTTGAAAGTTGGTGTTGCATGGTGGCGCCTCAATGAGGCCGTGTGAAACAAATGTCACAAGGCTAATCTTGGACAGCACAATGACAAGGCTCAATGGCTTAGCCATCGCTACGGTCTGCGGTCGCCTTCGCCATCAGACGGCGTGAAAGCTCCTGCAAGTAGCGGTACCTTTCCGCGGCATTCTCATCAAAGTCCCTCATCGAGGCGACTGTTTCGACCCAACTGTCGTCGTTGGGGAACTCGTCGGAAAAGCACTCCAATCTCACCGACTGGTGTATTACCCCCATCCGTGGCGCCGGTGCTGCCACCTTCGCAAGTTGACTTCGGGAATCTTCGGGGTTTACCAACTGTTTATGAACTCTGATACGTTCATCACGGCAAAATCCTTAGTTCGGGCGACGGGCTTCAGCGCACCCTACCCCCGGATCCTGCATTCGGACGGCTTCAATTCCTGCTCATGCGCCTTCGACCATAGAATTCATGTTGTCACACATGCTGTCTTGCATGTCGAGGCATGCTGGATATAACGAACTCGCAACACACCTCAGCCTACCCTTTCAGGGCTTGTGTTGGCGAAGCCACACACAACGCACTGAGTGGACTGTCACGAAGTGAGTGAAACATCGGCACTTACGGCGTCTTAACACCACCGGACGTGCGTGTAGCAAACCGTTTTGCGACGGTACGGGTTTCAAAGATCAAGAGCGTTCTATCGGAAACAGAATGTTTCATCACCAAGCCGGTCCAATTGACAGGTTGTGACCAGCGAAGCATGTGCA